GTATCAAATACCTCCCTATTTAGATTGATTTCTTTTAATATCATATATTATTATGCTATGTGCCCCAGAGATTGGAACGAAATACTTCTGCAAATAACACATAAAAGATGGGGGATAAATACAGACTATAAAATGTTTTGCTTTTTAGAACTCAAATTACCATTCTATTTTTTTAAATGTATTTTTCCGTCTTAGTTGTAGCAAGAATTATTTGTCATTTTCTTTCACTTTTTATAGCTCTCGGGTTTAAAATGTATATGTACGTAATGATCACATATACATATCTGTATATTGTATTTAAATGACTTTTTTCCGCAGAGAATATGGAAGTCTACTTTCCCCTGGAAAACTAAACTGTGTTGCCTGCTCCCAGCTTTGTCACAGACCTGGCCCTGAAAGGTTTCTCTTTTTATGTGTGAGACTCTATGGATACAATAAGTTCACTCGTGAAATAAGGTTCCTTTCCTGACTAAATTAAAATCATGGTGCACCCCTTATCCGTGAAAATGTTAGACGCAAATTTACTTGAATTAACTGTTGTAAAAAGAGTGGAAATCCGAGATTGAGTTTAGTTGGAAATTAGCAGCTGAGAGAGGAAGGTGCCAGGATTTTTATTTAAATGTGGTACAACAAGATTCTGTCAGTAAAGCACATCATTAGAATATTGAGTTTAGAACTGCTAATTTTTCCTTTAAAATGAGCATACAGTCATGTGTTTCCTGGACCATAATAAATTGCCATTGTGTTGTCATTGAGTTTGTTTTGCTTTTTTCAGGACTGGTTTGGCAGTCGCTCTGTTTTCCCTTTTCCCTCCGCCCTATCTCATATTCCTTTAATCGATCCCTAACCAAAACCAGTCCGAAGAATGTTATTTATTTCATGCAGCCTTAGGTTTAGCATCTTTTGCACCATTTTCTTGCTTATAGTGGCTAGACTTTTGCAGATGGTTGTTGGTTACTATAAAGTACGTAACAGTATTTCCTTTGTGGCAGATGGATTTAAGACTTTTAGTTCTCAATAAATGTAGGTTTACAATACATAACTTTACAGGATTTGTGTGGTATATAACAGGTTCGAACATATTATCTCAGAATTCATCTGCATGGCATTTTCGGCTTATTCGGGGTCCATGCCAGTTTTTTTAAGTAATAGGGTGAGCTCTGTGATTGATAGCAACAGCTCAAGGCGTGATTTTGAATAGAAACAAAGGGTTTAGAACAGAAGGTGTCAAATTAAACTTTGTCAGTTTGAAAAGTAGTAACATCCGGAAAGTTTTACCGATTTATTTACATGTGGCTACTGTTTATATTTTGCCCGCTTTATATGCAGTGTAATGTTGCTTGGCAAATTTACTACATTTAAAGTTTAGGTTGTTCCTTGTGCCATTTCAGTTTTCTGAGACTGGATCAGTATCATTATTTTAAGGCTTTTAGTCTTTTGTCTTTACTGTTCATTGAATTTAATTCAATTCAATGAACAGTTGTCATTGAATTTAATTTTGAGAGTAGTTGCTTACTCCCGCCTATGGTCTTATAATATTTCAAGTCTCAGACACCTCTCTTAAAAATGTAATTATGGTCACATTTTGCAACAAAGTGCTTCATTTCAATTCCTCTCCTCTACCAAGTAAATCTATAAATTTATCATTTAAAAACCAATACAGTACTTAGGGGAATCATTATTCCTTATTTGTTAAATATTACAAATATTCTGACGTGTTCATTTTCTTCACAAATTTATATGCTCTAACAATATCACTTACGGAAAAGTGGCCTAGAAAATGGTATGGGGGAATTAGAAAGCATTTGGCTAAAGTTTTTCAGTCGCTTTCTGCAAAACATAGATTAGATTACTGTCATCATTAATAGAATCTCAATCGATAGGATCCGAGGTAGTCAGAATATTCCAGGGCATTTAAATAGTATTAGAAAAAATTCATCTTACTTTTGCCGGTGTAAATTGGGAATGAGCCAATTTATTTCCCTGCTGACAGAGAACTAGCGTGTCAAAATATCTGTTTCCCATTACTTTTTAAGAGCTACACACATCAAGAAAAGCACCCTCTTTTTGTTTTTTTGGAATATCCTTGTAGAACTAACAGTTCCCAGCTGCACCGTTAAATATTTTTCTAAGAAGCATCTGATTTCAGTCTCTTAAAATCATCGTGTTTCTTGAAAGGTTAGCAGAGACATGCTTCAAACTTCTAATTCATCAAATTATTTTTAGATAAGGAATTAGAAGTATTATTTAAGGGCAGAGGTTAATAGCAAACTACTGGAAATGTTATGTTAGTCATGGGCAATTAATAAAAATAAGGATCTATCTCATAAGCAGAGACACAGAAGTGACAATATGAGCAAATATTTGTTGAATGAGTCGGGGCTCTTTTTCTGAAATATTTGTTAAACCAGCATGCATGTGATTGTTTAGGAATTAGCTATCATTATTAGCCATTTTAAAAGAACTAATGATTTTCTTTTCCAGAGAACATCTGTGATCCACATGTTTTTTCACATATATCCAAGTGCTAACTGATCTCTGCATTACAAAGTTTCTAAAGGATTTGAAAATTATTGGAGTTTTCAGCTCTCCCCAAGAAGCTTTTCTTACATGAATCGTTCTTAATTTAACTTTTAGCAATTTTTAGTTGCAAGCATTAGTTTCTTTAAAAAAATTCTCAGATGCTCAATGTTGAGCACTCACTGCAATAAGACTAGCTAAGTAAAGAAAACAAAACTTTTCTTTATGAACCTTCTAACATCTCTTGAGAGAGAAATAAAATGATAGTATTTGCTGTGTTAGGCATGGGGGCCTGTCAGTTGCCATAGCTGAAGAATGGAGACAAGGGGAAGGAGGAAAGTCATATAGTTAATATTCAGACCTACAGGAAGATAAATCTAACGTCTTCACAGCATCAAAACTTAGAGGTAAAATATAAAGAAGTAGCTTAGATGTAGGGAAATATAAAGTGTTTTCATGGCTTAATCTGGATTGTAAATATTTGCCAGTAAGAGCTAAATAATCATCTCCAGGGCACCATATGCACGTGTGTCTCAGATATTTCAAATACTTGAATACAATTTTGTAGTTAATATCGTGCTCACATAAACAGAGCTGAAATATGACATATCATATTATTCTGGAAATAAACATAGAATCGCCATAGTTAGAAGAGAAACGTGTTCAGTGACACTGTAATCACCATTTTTATTTATTATTCGGCTAATACTGGTTTAGGCAAATCTTCAGTTTACTGCCTGCTCCCTTAGCCTTGAATTATGAGTTCAGTGGCACTGAATGAGTGCATGATTGCATGACCGTCCCCATGTACATATTTGTTTAATTAAAAGACCTGTTGAGGATGAGAGCTCTCTTAGAAGAATTGGTAGATCTCGTGAGGTTTAGCAGCAGTCACCCTTGGCTGGTTAGTAGATGGGCCTTGGGAAGCTAATGTATCAGTTCTCTCTAAAATCTCTCAAATAGGCCATTTCGGGGAGAATGGGCCATGCTTCTTTCCACCATATATTGCAGTTGGAAAGAGAATTTTTCTCTCTAGTGGTTCAGTTTGAGAAGAAAGGGAGGGAAGTCATACTATTCTCACTCCAGAGGTAACATTTAAAAACAAAAGCATAAAATAAAAACAAGCAAACAAAACCCTCTCCTTGGCTAGTTCTAAAAATCAGATCATAAAGAAAATGTACTTTATCCATTCACATCCAACTAACTGAGATGGAATTTTCAAGAAGCCCCTTCGTCTTAGGTGGGGTTCCCTAAAGCAGAGCCCGAGGTGGGGATGGGTGCATGTGATTGGGTGAGGGACCTGAAGGAGCAAGAAGGATATGGGGAAGGGTCCAGCGAGAATGTGGGCTCAGGTAAAGTCTGCGTGGATGGGGAGCGGGAGGGCCGTCTCTAGGGAGTCAATTCCTCTGCAGAGCACAGCAGTAGATTGAATGGCGGAATGAGTTGTCGCGTGGGGAAAGGGGCCAGAGCTTTGTACCACTGGGTCAGCCAGTCATGGCCACGCCGGGTGAGGGGCCAGAGAGGAAGTGGAGTAACTGTCCAGGCGTCTCGGGGTGAGACGGCCCAAGACACTTCTCCAGAGAAGAGTGCGGCTGTGAGGTCTCAGCAGGCAGCACAGCAGCTGGGGTGTAGCCTTGGCTGGTAAAGGGGGGCTGGTGGAGATAAAGAGGGTTTGAGATGCTGATTAGAAAATGGACAGTGTCCTCAGGCTACGCAGTTCTCAATCGATAACCCGAGGATCAAAAGCTGGGCCTTGGAACGTGTCAGGAAGGTTCTGATTTTTGGCATTCATTGGGCATTTCATCCTTTGCTCAGAAAATCTGTTAACATTGTTGCTTGACAAGTCATACGTGTCTACTGCGGTGGGCAGAAGAGCAGGACTCTGAGCTGCCTTTTCGGAAAGTGCTTCCTTGAGGATTCTCCCGGTGCCCAGTCTGACCATCACGCCCTGCGTTGCACAAAGTTCTTGCTCACACAGTTGCACGTGACATTTCTCTTCCGTGCGCGCACACCCCCACACAAATATTCACACCTAGTTTCCTTTCTGATACAAAAATTATAAGCCTATGAAGTCCTTTCCAAAAATTATTTTAAAAATCTGTCCTCTCTCTTCTTAAGTACCTTTAGGAGCTCAGGTGGCCACTCATCGGACGAGAAAATGGGGCTTTTTCTCAGCTTTGCTCTTCTCCTGTTCCACATGTCACAGAGTCCGTGGTAAATGTGTCTTGCCCTCGGAGTCTGAAAAATATCACCCTCCTTTCAGATTCAAGTCTGAACGTTTATTAGAAACAGAGCCTGTCTCTTCGGCAGCCACAGCTATTCTCAGAGTTTAAAAAAAAAAAATTTTTTTTTAAACAGATTGGAGTGTTTTGAGCTCATGAAAAAAGTTAACTTCACAGGGTCTTTCCGTATTCAGCTCCTAATGGAAATGATCAGCACCCCCACAGGCACGAACTGACCTCTACTCCCTTGTCTCTAAGGGGTGGTTGTGTGAGCTGTTACGCTGGAAAGAAGACCCTTCCCCGGAGAACAGGACCCTGTGGGAGAACCTCTCCATGATCCGCAGGTTCCTCAGCCTTCCTCAGCCCGAGCGCGATGCCATCTACGAGCAGGAGAGCAACGCGGTGCATCACCACGGCGACAGGCCGCCCCACATCATCCACGTGCCCGCGGAGCAGATTCAGGTTCGTTTACCTTGGCCTTGGCCGATTCCACACAGCGCCGAGTACATAGAGCCGTGCAACGCAGCGGGGGAGTTAGCGGCTCCCTCCTTCCAGCAGGCTCCACGCGGGCTTTTTAGCAAGAGAGAGCAATCCACTGCCGTCTTGCTCGGGAAGAAAGGAAAATTAACACTTTTTCCAACATGTGTTTTGTGTTCCGCTTTCTTCACTCCCCACCCCCAAAGTGGCAGGAACCCCCTTTTACACTTCTTGTTTGGCAAGTGTGTCTTTGTTAGAATCGGGTTGTTTGGTGTGTGAGAGCTTAAATTTTTTTTAAAAATCAGACTTTAAAACATGCCACCTTTTTTTAAAAAAAAAACAATAACAGCACAAACTAATACCTACACTGCCCCCGAGGAGAGGAATTACTGCTGTTTTCTGGAGAGGAATTTTGTAGAATCACAACTGTATACCTTGGCTTCTGTCCAAAAGGAGGGAAGGGAAACCTAATTGGAATCTTGCTTCCGACTCCTCTGCCCCTCCTTCACTGTGTAGCTGTCTCCCTGCACCCTCAGGGAACACAGGTTAGGGGTGAGTCATGTCTGTTTGTCTTTCCTTTAGAGCCCCTCTCCCACCACCCTTGGGAAAGGAGAGTCTAGAGGCGTTTTCTTACCAGGCCTGCTGACCCCTGCACCGTGGCTCGGTGCTGCTCCTCAGGTGAGCGGGCACAAGTTACCTTTGCCAGCAAGAGAGGGACACAGAGAGGGGGTGGCTTAAAGACCTGCACCCTTGGTCAGGATATTCAGACTTTTAAAGGACACACTAACCATGGCAGTGGGCAGAGACCACTGTGCCAACAGATTCAGCCTTGTACTTAGCTTGTTGTGTCATGGGACTTGTCTCCATTCATCCACTGAGGGAACTCCCCTAAGAATTTAGATGGGGAAGCTCTGGGATCAGGTAGTTTGTTGGTGCTCTTATGGCCTCGATTGCTTAGGAATCCTGTTGAAATTGAACTTGAGCTGTATAACTTACTTTTGTTAAATCTAAGGGGCTGTTTTTAGCTTTCCCCTTTAAGGGGAAATGCCATTGCCTTCCAGAGCCCTAAAATTCTACTATCTTTGGTGAATCATCTGCATTATTTCTGGGTATTGCTGGGGGGAAAAAATACATATGTAGCTAAAAACAATAATAGGGTTATCCATCCACTAGGAAAAAAGAATCCTTGAGTGTGTATTAAAGATAAATTGAAAAGGAGAACCCCTTAGGATATCAAGCACTAAAATAATCGTGAAAGCCTGGAAAAACTTTAGCAGAAGCAAAAAAAGAGAAAGATACACGTTAAGTAATAAAAATAGGACTTGTTTGAAAATGTAAATCGTTTTTAATAAAATTGCTTCTTAGGGGGATAAAAGGAAACGCTTAGGCTCCATATGAATGTTCTGATATTTTGCCGCGTACTCGGGTTGATCTGCCTTGTTGAGGAGTCACGGGCAGAGAGCACAGTTCCGTACGTGTCTCACACATTCGTTCTGTGTAACTGTGGAAATTACAGCACACATACAGATACTAATTATAAAGAAGTGTCTGTGTACACTAAATTTAAATCCTAATCACATCTGAATTTACTATAGACAAAACAATTCGCTAGCCATTGTGCGGTGGATTGGACATTTATGTTTCGGTAAGAAAAAAACTTGCCTTGTCAGCCTTGTGCAATTTGGTAAGACATTGTGTGTGAAAGCGGAGCCGTCTGGTAGGAAATTCCCAAGTGCGCGCGTCTCGAAACCGCCTTGGACTCCTAGGGGATAATGCTGAAGAAGAGCCGAGGACTGTTCACTTCATGGTCATTTAAACACAACCTCCAGTGCGTGCTCCGTGTTTCAGCCACCGGGACCTGGGGCAGGACACACCTCCCTTTCATGGCTCTGGCCTTTGAAGCCCCTCTCGAGCTCCCTATTCAGTCTTTGTGAATCGTTCACCTCCTCGCTCGCTTCGCTCTTAGGGCCTGATGTGCAGCCTTCTGGCGACGTTGCAGGCTCGCGTTTGCAGAGCGCCGAGTTCCCACTGGGTGAGCCAGCCAGAAAATCAAGGCGACGGGCTCCGCCGACCCCTGAGCAGGAAGCCCAGGAACACCCCCAAACACCCAGTCCCTTCCTAGTTATTGATTTTCCCCCCAAGGCTGTGGGCCAGGTAGCTGCGCGCCCCGGCCCGAGCGCGCAGAGCTCTCACTGTGCCTGTTCCTTTGCAGCCGCAGCCGCAGCCGCCCGCGC